ACCCTGATGTTCGACCTCCACACCTTCCTATCAAGGGTCATGTTCTCGAATCTGAAGCAACACCATGTCTTGCCTGATCACCTCTCCCCAATACTTCTTAGACCGCCCTCTACCTTTTCTCGTACCAGCCAAAGCTAACCACACAGACCTCCTTACCGGGTCTTCTAAGCTTCTCATCCGCATGTGCCCGAACCATCTTAGCCTCGCTTCTCGTATCTTGTCATGTATAGGAGTCACGCTCACCTTCTCCTGAATATCTTCATTTCTAATCTTATCCATCCTAGTATACCCGCACATCCACCTCAACATTCTCATTTCTGCTACTTTCATCTTCTGGATATGCGAGTTCTTAACTGGCCAATACTCTGCCCCATACAACATAACTGGTCTAACCACCGCTCTATAAAATTTACCTTTGAGCATCGGTGACACTTTCTTATCACACAGGACTCCATATACTAACCTCCATTTCATCCACCCTACCCTATACATTATGCAACATCCTCGTCAATTTCCCCATCCTCCTAACTAACCGATCCTAAGTACTTGACTTGCCTCTCTTGGGGATGACATGTGATCCAAGCCTCACGTCTTCATTTTAATTTTTAGATGTACAATTTCAGTCGACAAAGTCGTACTCTTTAGATGTTCTTGCGAGAAGCTTTAATTATATTTCATTATCTATCTTTTAAATAATTTCCATTTGAAATAGTACATCTGATAGTGTAATTTGACTATTAAATTCGCATATTAGAAGTTCGTTTTTATACAATAATAACACAAAATATTTTAAAATATTTCTTAGTATTAAGTTTCATTTGATCTATTTATAATCAGTACAAACAATCTGCAACATAACCAATTTGCCCTTTTAATAGTCAATGAAAGTTGAACCCATACCGATACTGCCGATGCTCCTTTGACTTAATTACCCATCCGTCTATGTAACACTTTTTACTTTTTAGTTCGTCCTAAGAAAATATTACTTTTGTATATTTAAAAATAATTTAACTCAAAAATTCTCATTATACCTTTAATGAGATAATTATATGCAAATATCTAAAGCTTATTTTAGATTATAAGTTTCAAATTTTTTTATTTCTTTATTGAATTTCGTATCAAATCAAATAATGCTACATAAATTGAGATGAAGAAAGTATTTAAGAATAACTTGATAAGCATTAAGTGCTTTAAAATACTTTTAATAATTGAAACTAATTTGAATAGAAGTTAAACTAAAGTAACTGGAATGACTTAGACTTTATTATAGAAAATATAAATTAAAAAGTTTCAGGATAAAAATTAACACAAAAACGGAATGAATAGAAAATTCATTTACAAAAGATATCACGAATAAAATAACAAAACTAGTTATCACCACCAAAAAATGCCTATAAACTAAAAAGATTATTTTGCCAATTTTTGGCTTTTAAATTTTTTTAATATTAGAAGCTGCTAGATATGGGGGCTTGGAAGAGTAGTGGGAATGCGAGTGGCATGTGAACCACGCCCACGAGTTGCATTAGAGCAGCTGCGAGAGAGATATTAGGGGTCTCGAAAGGATACTCTGGTGGTCACAAAGGGGACTGGTGGTAGAATGGAGAGGTCCAAGGAAAAGTGAAAACCAAGAAAGCAACGTATTTGAAGCTACTGAAGAGCGTGGCGAGGAAGATAAGAGGACGAATAGGGAGTAGTATAAGATGACTAAGAAGGAAGCAAAGTTAGCGATTACTGCGGCAAAGACTGCAACATTTGGTTGTTTATACGAAAAACTTAAAGGCAAAGAAGGGGAGAAGAAGCTATTCAGGCTAGCTAAGGTGAGAGAAAAGAAGGCACATGACCTGAACCAAGTGAAGTGCATCAAGGACGAGGACGACAAAGTTTTGTTGTATGAGGCACATATTCGTCGGAGATGGCAGATTTACTTTCATAGACTCTAGAACGAAGAGGGGGTAATAACATTGTGCTGGGGGATATGAAATACTCTGAGAGTCAACGAAACTTTGGATATTGTAGATGTATTAGAGTTGATGAGATTAAGGGGGTTATGCATAAGAGGAGCAGGGATAGAGCGATCGGGCCAGACGAAATCCAGATAAAATTTTGGAAAAGCGTGGGCAGGGTGGGCTTGGAGCGGCTTATTGAGTTATTTGATGCTATTTTAAAATGAAGAAAATGCCCGGGGAGTGGAGGTGGAGTATGATGATCCCATTGTACAAGAACAAGGATGATACTCAAAATTTGTAATAAATATCGGGGTATTAAATTGCTAAGTCATACTATGAAAGTATAGGAGATGATGATGGAGTTGAGGGTGAGAAGAAATATGTCTATCTCTGAGAACTAGTTTGAATTTATACTGGGACGTTCCACTACGGAAACCATCCACCTTGTTAGGAGACTGATAGAGCAGTATAAGGAGAGAAGAGGGACTTACATATGGTATTCATCGGCCTAGAAAAGGCTTACAATAAAGTATAACGAGAGGTCCTGTGGAGGTGTTTGGAGGCGAGGGGGTACCTATGGGACAATGAGAGGGGACTCAGATCACATTCCAATTGTGATGGGGTTGCACCAGGGTCAGCTTCAACTCTTTCTTATTTGCCCTAATAATAGATGCACTGACGCGCCACATCCAAGGGGATATATTATGGTACATGTTATTTGTAGATGACATTGTATTTATTGACGAGACGTAAGGCTGTGTTAACGCGAGGTTAGAGGTAGATATTGGAATCTAAAGGTTTCAAGTTGAGCAGGACCAAGACAAAATACTTAAAGTGAAAGTTCAGTGGTACGACTCATGAAGCGGATGGATTCACAAGTCATCCTATGAGAAAAAGTTTTAAATATTTTGGGTCAGTTATACAAGAGGATGGGGGATTGATGAGGATGTCAATCGTATTAGGGCGGGGTGGATAAAATAGAGGCTTGCTTATGGTATTTTACGTGACAAGAGAGTGCCACCAAAACTTAAACGTAAGTTCTACAGAGTAGTATTTAGACCAACTATGTTGTATGGGGCTGAGTATTGGCTAGTTAAGAGCTCGCATATCCAGAAGATGAGGGTAGTTGAAATGAGGATATTGAGATGGATGTGCGGACATACCAGGATTGATAGAATTAAGAATGAAGTTATTCGAGATAAGGTGGGCGTAGTCCCGGTGGAAGACAAGATGCAGGAAGCTAGACTTAAATAGTTCGGACATGTGAAGAGGAGAGACATAGACACGCCAATGAGGAAGTATGAGAGGTGGACCTTGGAGGGCCTGATGAGAGGTGGACCTTGGAGGGCCTGATGAGAGGTAGAGGTAGGCCAAAAAAGTGTTATGGTAAGGTGATTAGGCAAGACATGGCGATACTCCAGATTACCAAGGACATAACCTTTGATAGGAAAGTGTGGAAGTCGAGGATAAGGGTAGAACATTAGGTGACCGAGTGATTTTTCTTGTTCTTACTAATTGCATTAATACATACTCTCAGTATTGCTTTTAGTCTTAGGTTTCTATTATTGCTTGTTGTTGTTTTCATTTTGGTCATCTTATTATATTGTTGTTTTAATGATTCTTTTCTATGGCTCCTCAATGTTGTGTCTGGGTTTCTACTTTTCATTACTGTTGTGCTTATGCTTCACTGAGCCGAGGGTCTATTGGAAACAACCTCTCTATCTCCATGAGATAGTGGTAAGGTCTGCTTCCGCACTTCCCTCCCCAAACCCCACAATATGAGATTACACTGAATTTGTTATTATTGTAAAAGCTTTTTATATTACCAATGCATAAATAAAGTGAAAAATTGCACCAACATGAGCTGTGGTGGATGTGTATGATCTCTACACCACTAACTAAAAGTTTCGGGTTCGGGTTCGAACCCTAAGTATGAAAAAATTCTATTAGGAAGCGCTTCCTCCTTAAATGAGCCTTATATATCGTGAATCCAAATATAATAGAGCATCCCTACGAGTTCGGACATTGAATAAACCCAGCCTAAAGAAAGTGAAAATTGCAATTAACTTACCGATCTATATCTAAGAAAATGACCACCAAAGATTCTAGTGAGATTCTTAATATCCATAATATCTCTCAATTAAGTAAAGGTCTTGTATCCGAATTTGAGATGCTTATATTATCTTTCTGATTTTTATTTGCTGTCACAAATTCTATTTGCTTATTTTTGTCTGAGCTGAAGGTCTCTCGGAAACAACCTCTCTATCCCTCCAGAATACGGATAAGGTCGATGTACATTCTATCCTACTGGGTTGTTGTTGTAGTATTCGAGTTTGAGAATGAAAGAAATTCTAATAAAAACTTTTCCCTTTAATAAATCTTACACGTGTTAATTTAAATTAATCTCCAAAGAAAAATGAAATTTATTTGGAAGGATTCAAAGGAAAAAGGAAAAAGAGGGAAAGTTAAAATTTTATACCCAACATAAGAAAAGTGAAGATGAGCTGTGAACAACTCAAAGCTGTCAAATAGTACATACCAAATTCTCTCTTTTAACAACATTGTCCATTGGTAAATTAGAAATGAAGTGAGTAGTAATGGGGCTGTGAGAGAGTGACTGTGTTATTGAATCCTCCCTATCTAATCTATCAACTTGCTACTACTTAAACAACATTGGCATTTGCATTTTGCACATAAACACTCAAAGCTACTGCTTCTCTTTTCCTCACTCCTTCCACCCCCCCCC